ACCGAGCACCTGGAGAATACAAGTCGAGATTGTTGTTACTCAGAACTACTCGGTCCTGTTCTTTATGGAACTTTAAGATTCGGTACACTGTTGACAATAGCCCAATGCAGGTGAGCCAAATGAATCAGTCCGTGCACTTGCATCCTATTTATCTAAAATAAAATTTGTGTCAAGTGTTGGGGGGTGACTATCAATAGGGTCTTGATTGCTGAGTGGATTTATTGGCTACTTATACACATGAATCGTAGCTACAAGCAGTTACAGCCCCACTGATAAACTCCACAATTCACTAATCACCACAGCACCCGCTAATCTTTTTCTAGCCTGCTGTGATTTCATCAGCCGTTACCTGGCAACGACTTCTAACAGTGGAGATTCTTCAGCTTCAAGGGTTCAGGTCCTATCTTCACAGCCTCCCTTGCAAAACTCTACTGAACTATGTCCCTTGCTTGTAACATCTCGACACTGACCGCATAGAAAACAGTTCTTCTATTATTGCGTCCAACTGTTGCATTATTAAGGCGCTGTCTAGCAAAGGGAACGTGTTTGCCGAGCCGTTGTCCAGAAACGGGTCCATACGCCACAATATTATCCTCCATTTACGCCAAGGTTTTCCCAAGTGATCTTTCCTTCACAGTTTCAAATGACAGTGACAAGATGGCCTCACTTTTAATTTGCCACGGAAAGTTTACTGGTGACTGTGCTGTAATGAAACGCCTGTGAAGAAACTGTTCTTGCACAGAGAACGAGACATTTTGCAGACAAATTCGATATGCATACCTGATTCAAAATTATTGGAAAATTGATTGTCTACTAGGGTATACAGTGGCCTTATATCGGAAGAATAAAGGAGGAAAACTGGGGAATTTTATAAATTCTTTTAGACAGGTAATTTACTATAAACCCATTAACAATTTGAGCGGAAAGATGTGATTACAGCTTCGCTCAACATTATTTTTTTTTAACAGAAGTTTTATCACTTCGCTTCACACTGCGTATGATATAAACGCCTGATGAAAAGTGCAAGGCCATGAAGGGTATAAAAGTACACTTCAGAGGTGTATAGGTATTTCGCAAATGCAATTTTTTTGCCACCTTACACACCCCGTTTTCCTTAATTTTCATTCTTTATAGAAACAAATTTAATCTTGCAGGTAAAGAAACAGCTTCCATCGCAGTGTGATGGAATCACGGAATGTATTTTCTCTGTTATCTATACAAAATGTCGGCGGTTATTGCTCAATATTCCTCGTTACAACGCAGGGTTAAATGATTTTAGACGGCAGAGAATATTATTTCTAAATTCCTTGCCTCTAGTACCCTTTCATACGAAATTATTAAAATTTTCTTTAGTTAAGATGATACATTTTATTTCAATGAATATATTTTAAGTGACATTAGTATACTTCAATGATATATTTCAAGGGCTGAGTGTTTGCATCCACCAGCACAACTTGGTTTTCATGTCTTCATCATATCAACAATTGTTTTCTTTGGTGTGCCTGTTCAGTGAGTTACAGAAGCGGAAATCGCTAGGCACAAGTTTCAGGCTGAACAATGGGTTGTTGATGGCGCTTCAGGACATACAACACACTCTCTTTCTTCTTCAGGCCCTGAACAACGACGCAGTAACGAAGGCAGATATTTCTGACGTCATGATGAGGTGGAAGCTGGTGGGTGCAAGCAATGGACCCCAATTTTGATAATGTAAGTAGTGTTACTGAAAATATACACAATGAAATTTTTGTGTAATTTAACAGACAAGCGTATACAATTTGCTGGCAATTTAAACATTAGAATCTAGGTAATATGAACGCCGATATGAGGAAGATAGGTTTAAGAATCAAATATTGTAATGTGGATGGCCAGAGCGTTGCTAGGTAACGGTCCCTAAAGACCCCGCGACAGAATACACACAAGGCAACAATAGAAGAACAGCAGTTTCTAGGCAACAACCTGTAAACAACCTTAAGTTGAGTGCCTTACAATAATATGAGTCAGGAATGAAAGTGTTTTCTATGTGGTCCGTGAGAATCTTATATAACGAGTATCTGTTGTGGCTTAGACTAGAGTGAGAGATTAGTGCAGAGTACTTATAAAAGAAGTGAATGCAGTGACAGTTCAAAGGCAGTTACGAGTCAGTCGTAAGCTGGAGGAGTGAGTCCAGAAGAATTTTTAGTTCCAAGGTTCGAGCGTGATTGAAGACGAAATAGCAAAAAAGTGATTTGGAGTGGTAATTTATGTGTTGAGATCCGTTGCCAGGAGACGACTAGTGGAGACAGGGACCTAGTACCTGAGCAACGGAGAGCTGGAAAGTGTGTGAATCAGCGATAGCGCTGTGTTTAAGTGTGATTAAGAGAACTTGTAACCAAATTGCTAATAAATCCAATCGTCCGAAATAGGACCCACAATTATTCGCCACGCGTAACCCTACACTTGTCAATATAATTCAGAAATACGTCCTAAACAAAATTTAAATATGTGAGAATATACATTTAATAATATGAATTGAAATACAATTTAAATCTCCGTGTACAAGATTAGGATTTGCAACAAACGAAAACATCAAGGATAACGATACTTGTAACATCACAAAAAAAAACGCTTCTGTAAAATGTGTGTTCCATTCCTGTTACGTCCAAAAGACGTGAAGATTCCTGCACATGGAGCGGTACTTTTAAAAGACAGGGAATTTTCCGTAAGTTTCCTGACTAAGTAGAACCTATTTTAAAATTAAAAAAGGAAAAATCTTCATATTACTACGAACATGTTCGCTTAAAACGGAACCTAACATTAAAATCGATGTGCATTTTTTTTTTCCTTTTTGCTGGGAAGGACACTGAGACACGAAATTCCACGCACGGCATTGCTATTAGTGGAACCCACTGGTTTCCGGCTCTCGGATTCTCTCTACTGCGGACGTTGGGTCGTCGAGTGACCCCGTACGTACAAGTCTGTGATCAACCGAACACTTTGTGCACAGGTCCCGTTAATTTGCTCATGTTTAAAGGGTAGACATTCAGAGTAATTTTACGATTTTTTAAGTTGTCCAACCCAGCAAAAAACAGCACATCCTGACCCGAACTCGTGGAGGTTAGTATTCCTGCTCCATGTTCAGGACATGGGATCGAATCTCGGTCCGGAGACTGACTACCGTCATGGGTTTTCTCAGTCCTTTGAGGAAAATTCTGCAGTAGTTCTTCAAAGCTGTTTACGACTGAGGGGTCCGAGTTCGAGTCCCGGTAGGGTCAAGAATTTTCTCTTCTCTACGTCGTTCAGACCGACTCTGGGGTCCATCCAACCTCCTATTCAATGGGCTGTGTCTTAGGGGGAAAGGCGGCAGGGCCGTGAAGCTGACTACTCACCTCCAACTAGTGCCGAGGTCAAGAAAATGTGGCTCTATACATCCACTCTCCCATACGTCTTCATGGTGTAGTATTAGTAGGACGTATTAGCATTCTAACGTTTTAATAATTAATGAAAATGTTGGTCTTGTAGACCAAAAATAAGTATAACCTTTTAAAACTTCAAGGGAAAGAATAATCCTCGTTTGATTAGTTAAGTACAGGGACAACTCTCTAACATTTCAATTATATATCTAAATTTTATGATCTATAAGGATATTTTATGCTGAGATATTTATTTTAAATTGATCATGTTCTAATTCATTATCATGTAAAGTAAGGGTCCGCACCCGAACAGACTGGTCTATATGTAATGCTCTCGGTTCTGTTCTCAGCTGGGACACCGGATAGCTTCCCTGAGGATTTCTGTGGCTTTCCTCAGCCACTCCAGGCGAATGCCATAATTCTGACTCAATTAGGACACAACCCGCTTCCTTCCTAATCCTTTCCAGTTCACCAGCTGACGACATATAGTCTGGGTATTGAAAGAGTCGTTAATTTACCCATAAGAGGAGGACCGATATGAACAAATATAAAACTCGCTTAACAACATTTAATGCAAACTCCGAATACCACATTTTACGAAAGTGTTTCGAATAATTTTCGGAAATGAAACATGTATCACCAAAGACGGGCACTTCCCTCACCACTTTCATGTCACAGGGGCCGAACTGTTGGTCTTGGTCGCATGAAGGACGGGACAGAATTGGAATTTTAAGTCAGCAGGAAGGTCGCCGGTTCGATTCACTATGCGGTAACTGGATTTTCAATTGACCTAATCCTTCCAGCCGCACTATGATCCTGGGTTCGACTCGGCCTTTAACAGAAATGAGTACCAGGAATCTTCCTGGGGTGTAAAGGGCGGCCGGCACGTAAGTCTAACAACCTCACCGCCATCTGTGAGCCGTTCGTCTGGAAAATGTGGAAGCATCGACATCTCACAACCCTATGGGCCTTCACGGCCTGCTATAGGGATACCTTTACCTTTTCTTTCTTTCTTTTTTCTTCTTCTTCACGGCAGTTACTAAGAAGAATGTGGTTCTCTAGGGGCTCAGCTTGCCTCTCGATTCTGCTAATTTATTTTTGCGTACTCTTGGACCCTAAACATGGAGGCGGTATAACACTCCGAAACGTCAATCTTTCTCCAAACTACATGATATTAAACCCAAAGACACTACTTTTTATAATTATATATTACATATTTAAAGGTAAGGCGGGTTTCTACACGTTTATATACAATATTGAAGTTTCTAAATGAATTCTGAAGCAAAATCGCCTATTTATTGATCCTTTAGCAAAAAAGACACGGCTGGGGTTCGATTCCCGGGAGGAGCAAGACATTTTTCTCTACTCCACAGCGTCCAGGCCGGCTCTGGGGTCCACCCGGCTTCCTATTCAATAGGTACTGGGGGTTCTTTCCTCGGGGGTAAAACAGCCGGGACGTGAAGCTGACCGCTCACCTCCACCTAGTATCAAGGTCAGGAATAATAGAACTATATCTCCACTCTCCCACACGTCTTCAGTCCGTAATGCTTAACTAATTAAGTACAGGGAAAACTTTACCTTTACATTAGCAACAAAGACACACTCCATAGATAAGCTTCATTTCAAAAGTGATTTATTAGTAATAATTTATGTACAACACTGGCAGCACCGTTCATAAATCTTATGAATGCATGTTCTCTTCATATGAAAGCGAGGGAGAAAACAATAATTTGCTGACTAGTTACCGTACATACACATCGTTCATCGACAAGGTAGCCCCCACCAAAAGCTAATATAAAAATTGTTTTAGGTGGGGGATTAGAATTATATCATACAAATAGTTCACATACAATACTGTTGTGTTGTCACCACTGCCGAATGTCGCCATCTATGTTTTATCGATTCATTCCACATGGACGGGTTGACAAGACATGCAAAAGGAACAGTACGGAAGAGATAAAAATAAAAATTAATTGCACAGTTATCTAGAATGGAGCAGCAGCGTTGCTTCTGGCTTGCTGGCTGCTTCAGCGGTGTTCCTTTGTTTGCACACAGAAGTCACGAACCGAACCGAACCGCAGCTTCGAGCTCCTCATACATTCATCAAAGCACACTACGTTGTTTACATTTACAGGAAAAGAAGAAGAACAACAAGCTGCTGTTTTCTTGAGCTACGTTGCCATACTTCCATTCTTTTTTTTCTGTTATTATTTATAGTTTCTTACAGTGCGGGAAGACCTGATTTCTTACCAATTAAAATTTCTCATCACACATGTTCTGCTTATTTCACACTATAAAACACACCTAATTTATGACTTGGAACAATTTTAAAATACCTTGCATTTTTTTAAATATCACGAGGGGAAAAGAATTGTAAAACGTCTATATAGGCCTTTGATACATTATGTTACAGCATTCGCATATATTCGCGCGCACTGCGAAAGGAAACGCGAATGTCACGACACGACTTTGAGATTAATTTCAAAATAAAAAAAAAGTCAAGCCACAACACGACAACGGCCGGCGTCGGGCTAATGTCTCAGTTCCTTTAGTGAACAAGGTCGCCCCCTTCCAAAGCAATGATTTAACCTTCTCTTTTTGCAGATGTAATCATTCCATTACAATAGGCCCGCTGTTGCACATCAGAAACGAAATGCACTGATATTATTAGAGCGTTTGACTTGAGGTCTGCGTCACTGTATCCATCCGGTAGAAGCCATGTTCGTGATGCTTGGCTGATCACCTTCTGTAGGCCGCTTACTTCTTCTTGCTGACCCTCAGCCGCCTGTGTCCGCGTCGTTCTTGCGGGTACCGTCTGGAAAAAACAGAAAGGGAACACAAAATTGTCACTAACTGAATTACATGCTACACAAAAGACTAAACAGAAATGTGAAAAAGAGTTCTTAAGAAGCTGACAGTTGCTAAATTTATCAATAAAAAGAAACTCCCAACTTTTATAAAACCCGATTAATCATTCCGGGCTGCACAAATTCACGTCACAGAACTATATCCTAAGTTACCTGAATTCGCTCCGTCACACCTGATTTCCATGGGCCACTGTTTCCCGTACCTTGGTAATGCTATTTTTTTTTTAATTCGCTGGGGGGGGGGAGTCAAACTGGGTCCACTCGGCACGGCTGCTACTGATTCGCCAATTCTACCTGTCCCGGGTGATTATGATGATGGAGAATTTGGTGGAATGAAGACTGGCAGGGGAAACCGAAGTACTCGGAGGAAACCTTCCCCAGCGCCACTTTGTCCACCACAAATCCCACTTGACCATACCCGGAATCGAAGCCGGGCCGCCGCGGTTGGAAGACAGCAACTAACCGCTTGAGCTATGGGGCGGCCTTTTTGGTAATGCTAACTTCTGTGGTTCTCAAAACAGGTTCTCAGGGGTATATTAAGTGCTCAGTCACACTTTGAGCATACCCACTGAAGATATTAAGTACTGGTGTTACTTATATCCCGAGTATGCCCTTATATTTGGCAGACATAAGAGCGATAACTGTTCATTTCCATCACAATATTATTAAAAAATTGAGTTTTGTATTTCTTTCCACACAAAATGTCCCTCGCTATAACGGACTAATGGGGGGGGGGGGGGAGGTTATTGCGGATTGCGGTCATGTGGAGGCAGAAGGNGGGTACGTTATTGCTGATGTCCGCTATGACGGAGCGAAAGGGATATTCACGGAAGTGCACTATTAGGTACATCGCCAATGCACGGAGTGAACACAGAAACACAGTGTGATCACATGAAGGTTTTTCTATAGGGGTTCTTTATTATTTTATAGTTTTAGAATTACAGAATCTTCTTAGTGCCTCAACATATCTAAAAATTCTCAATCGTTCAAAGCCAAATTTGTCCGTTACATCCGGGTTTGTTATAACAAGGGTTTACTGTAGTTCCTTATTTTGACCGGCTAGGTTATGTGCAGTGTGCAGGTAACATTGCCATGTCATGTAATGTGCGCGGATGCCGTGTTTGCTTTACAATCTTTCTATTGTGATGGGGGAAAATGAAACTTAACCATGGTCACATTCCCTTTAAGTGTATATCTGTTTCAAGGGGTATTAAACATAAGAATATTGAGAGCTGTTGCTATAGGATATAAATCCCTTTTTAATATCATCCTCCAAATATTTGGGAACGACAGTAACAAATCAAAATTTGATTCAGGAGGAAATTAAGAGGAGACTGAATTAGGGTAACACTTCCAAACCTTTTGTCATCTCGACCGCTGTCTAAAAAACATAAAAATTAGAATATAAAAAACTATAATTTTGCATGTGGTTCTGTATGAGTATGAAACTTGGTCTCTGACATTAAGGGAGGAACATGGACAGTGGGTGTTTGAGAACAGGGTGATCAGGAGAATATTTGGACCTAAGAGAGATGAAGTGACGGGAGGTTGGAGAAAACCGCATAATGAGGAGCTTCATAACTTGTACTCTTCTCCAAGTATAATTAGAGTGATCAAGTCAAGGAGGATGAGGGCATGTAGCACGAACGGGGTCAAATAGGAATGCATATAGGATTTCGGTGGCAAACCCAGAAGAAAAGATGAAGACGCAGGTGGATGTATATTATTAAAATGGATGAGGTCGTATGGACCAAACTGATCTGGCTCAGGATAGAGGGCTCTTGCGGACACGGTAATGAACCTTCGGGTTCCATAAATTTCTGAGTAGTTCTTGAGTAGCTGCACAACTGGCGGCTTATCAAGAAGGGCTCAGTTCCCTTTCTTTACACCCTGTAGTTTATTTCTTTAAAGTCTGCCGACTAAAATGTTGCATTCATTATCAGCTTCCCCACGCTAGCTATATATTCCACTCATCTAATCCTTAATTTTATGACGCTAATGTCTTGCGAAGAATATAAATTATGGAAGTTCCTAATTACGTAATTTTCTTCAGGTTCTTGTCACTTCCTTTCTTTACGTCCACGTCCCACCTGTTCTCAAATACATTCAACTTTCTACTCAGAAAGAAGACTTTATATTTACATGGGTTTTGTGACCAACCAGTCCGCATTCATTTGACTTCAATAGTGGCCATTATCGCTACATCGAAACGTAATTCCGTCCTCAAATTAGTGCAGAGCGTTTCAGCCGCCTCTCCCTAATACAATTACACGACAATAGAGAATGGAGTTTGTTACACAATGATGTTCCTTTGGAAATAATGGAACAGTACAAGATGCAATAAAAACAGAAACTCTATGCTCGTCGTACGTCAAATACAGTTTAAAGATGATAAATGATGATGTATATCGTGAAAATTTGCCTAGTAGAGTTAATTGAACGTTGCATGCACGCGACAAGCAAACCGGTATATCTGCTTCAGAGTATGTCTTTGTTTGTTAGCAGTTCTAAGAAAGACGTTTGACACATCTGCCTTTGGATTCCTCCTGTTTCTTGGTTCAGAAAGCCGCGTACTTCCTCACGCAACATTCTCTGTTATAGTCACATTCTAGGCTTACTGAATGCACACTGTCGCTGTTGCTGAAGCTGTTGTGTGTTTTGTGGGTTACTGTATGACGCTGACAGTTGCTAGATTATGTAGAGGCTTGTGGTGGAATCGTAGATGAATGTTAAATTGAAATTAGTTTGAAAAAAAAAAGGTATTTACCTAATTTGGGGAACTCCCCAAATTTTCGTGGAGGGTCTTAGAAAAACTGCAGAATAGCCTGTCAGGATTGTCAATATCCTGGCCAAGGACCGAGCCGAGCAAGTTCCGAAATCTACAGGATGGACCAAGCGGAAAGATCAATATTTTGAGAAATGATAACATCGGTCATTCTAAGTATATATATATATATATATATATATATATATATATTATATAAAAGAGAAAGAGAGAAGTTGGTTCCGATCAAGTCCCGAATAATGACCACAAGCGTTACAGCCAGACCAGACTCGTTCGGTGAAACTGTTGTATGCTGCAGGGAATACTTGAGTAAGGGGTTTTTGAAGCTTTCACTAGAATAGAATTCAGTCTGGACAAGTCCACAACTTCGTACATGGAGATGAAAATGTCCAGTACCTAGTGGCATGAATATTATTATTCTTAGTGGGGTGATACTGAGTCTACTTGGTACTGCGACCACTGGACTATTAGCTCCGGATGATAGACGATGGTGATTGTGGAGCAGTTTGTGGAATGAAGATTGGCAGGGGAAACCGAAGTATTTGGAGAAGACCTGCCTCAGCGCCACTTTATCCATTACAAATCCCACATGACTTGACCTAAGCTCGAACCCGGCCCGCCGGCAACAAAGCGCCTGAGCTATGGCACGGCCTTAGCGACGTGAATATATGAACACGGTAAAAACATGAGCCTGAACTGCCACTCGCAAAAGAAAAAAGCCGTTTCAGATGTCTGTGTTTAAGGTGTGATTACCTTCATTATTCCGGTAAACAAGTAGTGGGACTCCTGAGAACGGCAAAGCCTCTGTAAGTATACACCGGGATGAGATAAAATCCACACTAATTGCCCGCTAGGTAGGTCTGTCCCTATGAAATGTATATTTATAATGACTGCTTCACGAACAGAGCGTGTTATTACTTGTAAAGAATCTCCAACTAGGATAAAAATACTTTAATATCGAACACTTTACGTAATTAAAATATTTTTAACTGAAAGAAGTGACAGTATTATGGAAGTAAAGTATGTCATGCATAAACGTCACATGTACATCATCATACTCATATATATTTACAGAGTGTTCCAGGGGAAAGGTCAATATTCTGGGAGGTCATTGTAGCATATTAGAATTTAAGGTGGCATGTGATTTGGTTTACGAAATTTTGAAAGTTGTGATTTCTTTCCAAAACATGCAGTTAGACCAGTTTAGGATAATGGCATCGATAGATATACCCCGAAAACAAAGAGGTCGACCAAAGTGGACACTTTGTAGAAAAAAAAAAGACGGAAAAATACCTACACGACACTTGAATTCACATCTCCGTGAATAGCACGAGACAAATTTGAGTAAACTGCATCCGCATATGCCTCCTGTAAATGTCAGGCATATCTGTCTATGGCTCTGCATTCCTTTTGGGGGACCTTGGCCGATTTTTCAGTTTATTAATCCTGTACACAGTCGGTAGGACTCCTTGGACGGGGGATGAGCCCGCCCCAAGGCCGCTACATATACACAGAATAGACGTACACAGACAGCCATGCCTGGAGTGGGATTGGAACCCACGATCCAAATGTTTGAGCGAGCGAAGACGGTTCATGCCTCAGACCGCGCGGTCACTATAATCGGTGCATTTCAGGCACATACAGCAACAAACTAGGATAGTTTGTGGTGTATATGCATGCCGTTAATCACCTCGATAGCAAAACCTTACCAGGAAATAAACCCTTCACAGAAAACGTATAGAGAACGGCGTGTGCACTTATTTCAATCTGTCAAGACTGTTAAAGACTTCACTGATATATTAAGCATGATTATTTCCTCAGCATAAAATTACTTTATAAATGCAATGCATAATATTAATCACAGATGTAATCTCTCGTGACATTTCCTTAATTAGTGATACAATGCCCATCAGTTGTTTTTTGAATATCAACAGTGCTAAAGCCCAAATATGCATGAATTACCACGTCATATACTACAATAAAGAGCTGAACTTTACTGTAAATAATTCCACTCTGGGTTGTATTTTTATTTAAACTAATTAGAAGTGGCTTTCTCATGAATAAGCCTATAACAACAGGATCCTGTATTAATATTTTAAATTTGGTGTTAGTTTCAAGGGTCCCTTCTCTATTCCTCTTATATATATATAAAATAGTTTTGTA